AAAATGAGACCAACCACGATCGAATCTGACATAAGTTTGTAATTTTTTTAATGAATATTTTATGGTGACCCTAGTGACATTTGAACACACGACCCCTGGTTTACAAGAGCAGTGCTCTAACCACTGAGCTATAGAGGAAATTGTTGCAACACCAGTGTTTACATTTTCAAATTTGGCACAATGACCCTGTCTCTTATACACATCTAGATGTGTATAAGAGACAGGGAATAGCTCAATAAGATTACAAAATCAGTTAAGACTTATTGTTAATGTGAGGTGTTGTGATTATCAAAGTGTAACCCGACTTTAATTCTGTGTCGTACGGTAACTTTTTGCCGAGGTCCTGTCTCTGATTTAGAATTTTGGAAGAAATGTGACAATTTCATTAATAGTTTCAGCAGAATGAGAATAATAGCATTATTCCATGAATGACCGGGGTAGTAATGTGAAGCGCTTAGAGGCTTTGTTAAGGCATTAAGCGCTATATAAGAACGACATATTATTATTATTATTATTAGTGCACCAAGTCTAACAAAAATTATATTGTGCCAGACGTCTACAATACTGAGAATCAGGGGTGGTGCATTTAAATGAACAAAACAAATTAAGTAAGGAAAACTACTTTTAGACAAGGCAGAAGACGACCTGCAAGAGGGGACGGGTGATTAACACACGCTAGACCAATAGGGGCCCGCATACACATTTTGCAATATTTACCTAGAAAAGCAAGAGAACAAACAACAATGAAAATTTGAGCTTATTGTTTTTAGAATGCTGATAGTAGCACTGCATTTTGTTGTGGAGCGGGAGATTCTTCTAGAGAATTACTCCGAAAGACCTTTCGTATGTGTTTAGTTGTTATTTAGGCTAAGGCAAGATATAAGGAGGCACGTGGTTTGGATTAGTAGCATCATGACGTCTGTAGCATATACCGGTAATACCCTAGTTGATTTAATAAAATATAGGCCTAATGGTTAATAAATCATTATCCATGAGAAAAACAAAAATGACAGCCCCGAGTTTACAAGACCAGTGCTCTAACCACTGAGCTATAGCGGCTTCTGTTAATAGAACGACGATGAAAAGTTCGTTTTGTTGAGCTTTTTAAAAATATCTAGATGTCTTCTGTTGCACTTGTTGTGATGATGCAGATATTTTTTTTTTTTTTTTTTTTTTTTTTTTTGCAAATTGATTTTAGCCACTTTTCTCTAGTTAATTTTTGTTTGTGTTTTGACAATTAAAGTATTGAAGAATATAGGCTAATTGATTACCGTAATAAATCATTATCGATGGAAAAAAAATTACAGCCACTAGTGAGATTTGAACTCACGACCCCTGGTTTACAAGACCAGTGCTCTAACCACTGAGCTATAGAGGCAGTTGCTATGAAACTCCGTTGAAAAAATTGTTTCGAGTATCCAGTTAACAGTGAATATCCTAATGTATCGGGACAACATGTGTTACACTCGCTGTGTGAATACTATATTGATTTCCGTAGATAGACGTAACCTACGTTTGTCAGGTTAATTTGTTATTGATAGTATATTTTGTTAGTATTTTGACCACGCGCGCACTTTGTATAGACTTAATATTGTAATTAAATATGGTCATGGTAAAACACGGTAAAACATTTTCAAATTTGGCACAATGATCACCCTTTATACGAACTATAAAAATAACAAAGTGAGTTAGGTTACGTGAATGTTGCATAGGCAGAGCGTCAAAAAATGTTCAGACGTCCTGCATTATTATTATCTCCAAAACGACTGTCCACAAGTATAAATCAATCGTTATTTATTTTTATTTTCCCACATCAACAACCTTAAAAATGAGACCAACCACGATCGAATCTGACGAAAGTTTGTAATTTTTTTTAATGAATATTTTATGGTGAGATAAAAACATACGGTACAGCCCCTAGTGAGATTTGAACTCACGACCCCTGGTTTACAAGACCAGTGCTCTAACCACTGAGCTATAGAGGCAATTGTTACAACACTACTGTTTACATTCTTCAAATTGGCACAATGACCACCCTTTATAAGAACTATAAAAATAACAAAGTGAGTTAGGTCACGTGAATGTTGCATAGGCAGAGCGTCAAAAAATGTTCAGACGTCCTGCATTATTATTATCTCCAAAACGACTGTCCACAAGTATAAATCAATCGTTATTTATTTTTATTTTCCCACATCAACAACCTTAAAAATGAGACCAACCACGATCGAATCTGACGAAAGTTTGTAATTTTTTTAAATGAATATTTTATGGTGAGATGAAAAATTACAGCCCCTAGTGAGATTTGAACTCACGACCCCTGGTTTACAAGACCAGTGCTCTAACCACTGAGCTATAGAGGCAATTGTTGCAACATCAGTGTTTACATTTTCAAATTTGTCACAATGACCTCTATTTAAGAACTATAAAAATAACATCGTGAATTACGTCTAGTGAATGTTGCATAGGCAGAGCGTCAAAAAATGTTCAGACGTCCTGCATCATTATTATCTCCAAAACGACTGTCCACAAGTATAAATCAATCGTTATTTATTTTATTTCCCACATCAATAAGCTTAAAAATGAGACCAACCACGATCGAATCTGACGAAAGTTTGTAATTTTGTTTAGTGAATATTTTATGGTGAGATGAAAAATTACAGCCCCTAGTGAGATTTGAACTCACGACCCCTGGTTTTCAAGACCAGTGCTCTAACCACTGAGCTATAGAGGCAATTGTTGAAACACCGCTGTTTACATTCTTCTAATTGGCACAATGAGCACCCTTTACAAGAACTATAAAAATAACAAAGTGAGTTAGGTCACGTGAATGTTGCATAGGCAGAGCGTCAAAAAATGTTCAGACGTCCTGCATTATTATTATCTCCAAAACGACTGTCCACAAGTATAAATCAATCGTTATTTATTTTTATTTTCCCACATCAACAACCTTAAAAATGAGACCAACCACGATCGAATCTGACATAAGTTTGTAATTTTTTTAATGAATATTTTATGGTGACCCTAGTGACATTTGAACACACGACCCCTGGTTTACAAGAGCAGTGCTCTAACCACTGAGCTATAGAGGAAATTGTTGCAACACCAGTGTTTACATTTTCAAATTTGGCACAATGACCTCCCTTTAAGAACTATAAAAATAACCTCGTGAATTACGTCTAGTGAATGTTACATAAGCAGAGCGTCAAAAATGTTCTGACGTCCTGTGTTATTGTATCTCCAAAACGAACGTCCACAAGTAAAAATCTCTCGTTATTTTTTTATATTTTCCCACATAGGCCTATCATTAAGCTTCAAAATGAGACCAACCACGATCGAATCTGACTAAAGTTTTTAATACTTTTTTCATGAATAGATTATGGTGAGAAAAAAAAAATACAGCCCGTAGTGAGATTTGAACTCACAAACCCTGGTTTACAAGACAAGTGCTCTAACCACTGAGCTATTGAGGCACTTGTTGCAACACCGCTGTTTACATTTTAAAATTTGGCACAATGACCACCCTTGATAAAAACTATAAAAACAACAAAGTGAATTACGTCTAGTGAATGTTACATAAGCAGAGCGTCAAAAATGTTCAGACGTCCTGTGTTATTGTATCTCCAAAACGAACGTCCACAAGTA